GGCTTTAAGAAACTAAATCACAGTTTCAATCTCCAAGTCATATGAATTTTTTTATTTCTTGTTCATTTTAAGATCTCAAAGACTCAATGGTTTTATACAATATATATATCTACGTTTTAGCTCCTGACACCTGTAATTAATTATAAACCAATAATTAATTCAAAACAACTCAATAGTTTTTCAAGAAAGTACAGTCCGTATGTTTATTGGAGTACCCACGGAGCACTGTGTTTGAGCGTAAGCGTACTTCGGCAGACGAACTGTGCAGGAGTTGTCATAACAAAGAGGAAGTTGAATCTATCATGTTCTATATCTTTGCCGACAAAACGGCTTCAATATACAAAACACCATTTCTTCACCGGTAAACTTATCGATTCTACTTAAATTCTAAATCTAGAAATGATAATCTAGAAGATTAAAATTGTTTAAGAAGAATCATACAAGTTGGGTTTTATTGGAAACAATGTTTTTGGCAGCTCCCCTTTTCCTCGGAACTAAATATACATACAGTTGTACATAGCTTATATAAGAAAGCTATATGGTCACCATAAAAATTTTACTCCATAAATTAATTATTATTGTCTTCAACTCTCCTATAATAATTTTACTGCAATACGAGTATCTGAGATGTAATGTTTAATCGTTACTCTGAGTTGGTACTCCTTAAAAACCTTTATTCTTTTTTATATTTGGATATTTCCATATATCTCACTTTTTGTTTACGGATATATGACATATTATGAACTTGACTTTAATAAAATTAATTTATTTGTTTTTTTGTGCAAAAATCACAGTTTCTTATCTTATAAAATGAACAAAAATTACAGAATAACAACAGACTATAGATTTGTGAGTGAAAACAAGTTATTAGTATATTTGGCGCAAGAACAACAAATCCAACTAGGTGCCAAGCATTCTCAGTATTAAATATCCCAAACTCGAATCTCAAATTTAACAGTGTTTTACATAAAACTGCATTAAATAGAAACAGCAGCGGTAAAATTAAAACATTAATAATAAAAAGAAAAACACAAAATCATAAAACGTTTTCTATCTTAAAAAATATGTTTAGGATAACCCCAACATAACATAATCGATTTTCCGCTCCGTAGTTACAGAGATAATTAACTTACAATAAATCTATAATAGACTAACGCGTAGAGTTATATTCTTTTAAGTTCTATCTCAACAGTCTTTATTATAAGTTTTAATTTTTTATATCTACATATTTCATGTGGTAACTAGGAAGTGCTGCGATCACACGAGATAAGTACCTGTCTGTATTCTAATACTTAATAAATAATATTTATATACATACATATTATCACTTATTTTGTGTGATTATTTTTTTTGGTAGTGTTTTTTTTTGTTTGTTTAATTAAATATATATGCATGAATAATAAAATTCGTATTATATTGATAAAAAAAAATGATAACTTTATCAATTTTCCAAAAATAGTATTAATCATGGCTATGCAAACAACATGTAAAGAACTAATATTGATTATTTTTCTTAGTAAAAATTATTTGGCAGTCAGTCGCTTTGTATTTTCTCCTGGGATAGACATGGACTTTACAGTAATAAAGGAAAGGAAAAATTTGTATGTCATTTCCGGGCTTCATATGCAGACAATTTCAAATATTATTTATTATCGCTATAGTTGCAAAAATATATTGTATTATTTATGATTTGAATGAAAATAATATTTGATTCTGAAATTGTTATGATTTCTTTTTTTATATAAAGAGGAATAAATCCTATTTTTATAAAACAAGAGTTAATGATATTTTTCAAAAACATGAATATCCTTATTATTATTTTAATAAAGTGATTCAGCGATATCAATCCTTAATTGTATGTCAAATATTGATTAATGAACTATATTACATATTTCAAGTGCACATTTAGAAAGAACATGATTATCGGCTTTCCTTGGTCCTTGACAAGGAAAGATGAATGTTGAAAACCTTAATTACTTTAATCATTTTAGGCACTATGGATTTCTCTCTCCATCAAACAAACGAATTCATATCTCAACTATGATTTAATGCTGCTCAATTTTTTAATGTTCTGATACTTAAGACTGTATTGATTTTGATATTTAAAGTCGAGTACTTCAGTATTAAACATTAATTGTTTAAATATCTTTATATATACGTATAAAATATGACCTAATCATTTCTATTACTAATTAGTAAGAGCTAAATTTCTAAATTATACAAATTTCCAAAGTAGGTGGTGCTCACTACTGTAAAAATATACTGGCAAATATATTTTTATTCTCAAACTCGGTACTTAATACATTATCCTATTTGTTTTAACACAATAACGTTTGAGCCTAACTTTCGATTTCAAGTTTTCAAAGTTGCTGGATTTTATAAGGTTCTCGATCTCAGCATCTCTACCAAGTCCACTTGGTTATGAACCCAAATGGACCAAGTAGAGTCTTTGACTTCTCTTAGTGCAATTTAGTAACTTCGAGAGCTCTTGCTATATTTTACATAATTGCTCAAGTGAAAATATGCATTAATCATACAACATAGTACAAAATGTAGATGGCGTGAAAGATGTGAAATGGGGGTTTAACATAAATGAATTAAATTAATTATTATAAAAATGATTATAATGAGTTAAATAAATTCTTGAAATTCTTCTTTTGATTTAAAAAAATTTTATAGTAGAAATGGATTTAACATTGTTTTTTGCTTTACTTCGGATAATGGTACAATTTTTAATGTTCATATAAATAAATATTCTAAATAATATAAATTTATATGTATATTATTGACCCTCGTAACGATTGCAAGAGTAGAAAACTGTAAAGTTAAAATTTCAAATGTATGTTAAAGTAAACACCGAATGAAGTGAAAGCTGGCAGTTGCAGTCATTGAAAGTGCATAAGATAAATGCTGTCATATACACTGATTTATAACATCTTCAAAGATGTAGACTCGCAACACAACGACAGGAAAGAGTGTTAAAAATTGCAGTGTTAAAATTGAGTTACTCTGCACCCTTAAGCAAATTATATGCTACATCTGAAGTAGCAGTTCCTTTTATGATTGTTTTTTATTTTGCAATTAATATAAACATTTTCTTGTATTTATATATAAACATAGCTTCTCTTATCTTTGTTTCAACTGGATTGAGGCCACTTCGTTAATATTTAAAAAGCAGCAGGGAAAAATGAACAAGCAACCGACGAAAAATTGAGGTTAAAAACAAAACCCGGCAAAGGCTGCCCAAAATTTTCGATGGAAAACGTTATAATTATTAAGACGATTTCAAATATGTAAATAGAACCTACGTTAAAAGAAAGTTAAATATTGGATATTGTAAATCTTGCAGATCATCCAATAATAAGTAAAAAAATATTATTTATAATTAACTAAGAAATTAAAGATTTTGCATGTTAAATATAATGCCGTATGTTGCCATATGAAAGGATTTAGGGAATACATATATTTTTACTGCATAACACTGAATTGTTCTGGTACTTTTGGAGCATAGCCCTACTAACCAACTAAAGGATTTACTAAAATATAAACAAGACTAATTTTGCAGGTCCTATTGTAACTAGCAGTAGAAAACTAAAAATTACTAAGAGAACTATATACTGAATTTTTTAAATAATACTGAATAAAATTAGTTATTTTAACCAATATGCTATTTAAAAAATAACCACCAAAAAATTCAAGTTCAAAAAAGTTTCACATAGATTCAGATAGTATTAATAGATAGATTAAGATAGGTAGATTTAGTATAATTAAACGATTTCAAATTAAATAATACTATATATTTATTTATATATTAGATATATTTTTATTTTAAAATGCTTAAGATTTTCACTGTATTATAAAAATGGTTCATTTGTATCGCTTAAGTTGTATTTCACAAATCGGTACCGATTTCAGTTCATTACATATACTTTCATTTGATGCAATTTGATGTGTATTTACAGTGCTTTGATTTTATTGCATAAAATTTTAAATTAATTGAAATTTATCAATTAAAAATGAAAATAAAATTAATTAATTCAATTATGCTACAGCTGGTTTAGGATTTTATTTTAATACGAGTACAAGCCAGGAAGTAAATTTGTTACTGAACATACAAGTCAAGTACAGCTTTGGGTCAGTTGGCTAATGAACACTGGCTCTGAGCTTCAAATTTTGCAGGGCACAAGTTCAACACTTGGTACTTGCAATTTCAAAAAATTTTTTTACTAATAATTAAATATAAGAAATAATTCCAAGAACACTGCTGTTGGGTATTTGACAATACTCGAAACAGCTGTATTGGTCAGCCAAAAATTCAATTAATTAATATAATAAATAAATTACTACTACTTGTTGAAACCTCTCTAATAAAATAGCAAAACTTCATTTTTCACAAAGTGACGCTAAAATTTTTTGGACATTTTTTCATAAAAATCATTTTCCAGTAATAGTACTTTCAAGTAAGCTATGTGTACCCGTAAAATTTGAAGCTCCAGCTAAGACATGGCGAAGAACCATGCACCAGGAACTTAAAGACGCACAGCACTGGAACCAGATCACGAGAGAAGCAGGTAACAAAAGATTTAAAGAAATCGTTGAGGTCCTAGGCTTCATTTAGGAGAGAAGGACAGCAGTAAATAGGTAATAAGGTTCCAATTATTTAGCCCTCATAGCAACTATAGGTTCCACTCATCAGATCATTTCAATTAATTGGTCATTAAAATAACTGCTTCATATGCAAAATATTGTTATTGGTGTAATCAGTAGGAAGTTATCAAGTGACATTAAAAGACAAGAGTGATAATCGATACTTGATCGATAGATAGTATCAAGAGGTATACCCCCCGACAGTTGCTGGAACCCACATAGGTGATTTTTTTGTATCCTTTAGTGCGGTGAAAATATATTCAACTAATTCAAACCTTTTTACACTATATATTATGTTGAGGCTAGTTGAGTCATTTTTGCTCTCTATTAACTGCGAGGTTTCTCCATAACCCCTCTCTACGCCTTAACTGGATTATTGTTACACTATATTCACATACTATTTCGAGATAAGTGTATAGGGAAAAAGTGTATAACAACCCGTTAGTATATATTACCTAACGGGAGTAATTAGTTCCTAGAGCCGACTGCTCGCTTTCACATTATTAATTAAAATGTGTTACCAATTAATTGGGAGACATAATTAAGTAGTATGAAGTAAACTGTATTTGCTTAATATATAAATGAAGATATATATTTTTATGTTAGAAACTCACCATTTGCAGAAAACATGTTGACAGCAGAAAGTGTCGCCGTGTGCAAGATCCCATGACATAATTATTCCATTCAAAATTTATACTAAAAAAATTCTTTTAATTAAAAAAGTTGGAGAGCTGGAAAATCGTTGCTATGTGTTGCGTATGTTCGTATTTTGTCTTCTCTTTTTTGTTTTTGTTCCTTGAATTTTTTGTTTCGTACCTTTAATTGGTATTTCCGTTCAGAACCGGGACGGACTGGTCAAATGCAAGGCTCTTCTTCTTGGTTTAACGAATAAGCCGTTTGAGCTTAAAGGCTAGCACAGACCAAACACAGTAACCAAAAATAAATAAAAAAAAACAAAGCAAGACAAGTTGCCCGACAACTTTGCGTCGTACTCTTTGCTGTTTCTTGAGCAACTGTGATCAGTTCAACTTTGTTGTTGTTTTTTCTTTGCTTTGTTGTTAATCTTGTTTTGTCGCTATTTGTATTGCATTTTACTATGACAAAAAAAACAAATAAATTAAAATATTTCCCTTTATTAAAAATTATTTGAAATTTTTAAAAAAGAGAACTATTTTAGACTTTGCCAAAATAGAGAAAAAAAATGTTAATATTTAACAATGAAAAAAAAAAATTTTTTGCACTAATGCCTAAAACTCGTTTTCAATTTCTCTATTTAACGACTTTTTCTTCTTCTTTTTTTCGTTAGACAAAATAAATGATTGCGTTTTATTGGAAGCCCATTTGTAGGTGTTATTGACCTAGGTCATTCATCTGATTTTCAGTATTCTTCAATTATTAATAATTTGGATTGCGTCACGCGTCACTATTCACTTTTCATTATTCATTATTATTCCTTCGTTTTTACTTTTTACTAATTCTAATATTAAACATTTCATGTAATTCTTATTAACACAAAAATTGAAAGTTTGCTTTTTTTACCACTAAATGACTCAATAATTTATTACTAAATTATTTCTTTTTGTTTTTGTTTTTTTTTTTATTATTAACTACTTTT